GGTTCCGGTCAAGTTCTGACTTAATCGGGGGTCTTTTCGTAAAATCACAAAAAACAATTTTCTTATCCTATTTTAATTATGTAGATAATTTATTAATGTAACAAAAATAAATAGTTATGGGCACAATTTTTAATAAGTTACTGGTCCAGCCCAACAAGAAACCATGACAAAAGTTATGGGCTCAATCTCATCCATTTATAAATACATCCTACTGTGGAACAACAGTTTTCATCCCAAATTCCGAAATTTCGATTTTTTTTTTTCTGATTTTATTTTATCGGAATTGAAATATATATGAGATTCCGATTTCCAATCAAATTAATTCCAACTATTTTATTAGGTATTTAATATTTAAGGTTACTCAAAATCGGATTTTCGGAATCCCGCGCCCGATAAAAAAAATTCCGATTTTGGAATAATTTTTTTCCTTCCAATTTTTTAAAAATTACGATTTCCGATTTTTCGATTTTTTTCAAACGGAATTGAAATTAGATTTTCACTGCCGAAAAGAAATCGGATTTTACTCTTCTTCCCTAAAGTGCTAATTCCGATATGATCGATCCCTAATTATACATCCAATCGAAAAAGACTCGAAACGAGCATCTCAGAAACATTGTCCAACAAAAAAAAAAAAAAAATCGATGATCAAATAAAGTACTTCACCATCTGAACTTCCTTCTGTTTAAAACCACACCTCTCGTAAAACGGCACATTATCAACGCTACAATCAAGAATCACCTTATAGCAACCAACCCCCCGAGCGTAATCCGAAAGAAACTCGATAACCTTCTTCCCTAATTTCTTACCTCTAACACTCGAATCCACCACCACATCTTCAACATGACCAACTTTGCCACAATTCCTTATAAACTTCTTCTCGATAAACACGCTCCCCGTGGCAACAATCTTGCCTAAATCTTTATCCTCTATCACACATATAAGGATGGTCATCGCCACATTTAGCAATCTCGTGAAATCTCGCGTCGAACGCCTCGTTCGAGATGGCCCCACACACAGTCAGCTGTTGTATAAGTCGATGAATCCCTTGTCCTTGTCCGATATTTCTAGCTTCCTAACTTCAAATACCGATTCTTCCGTCGGAAGATTTTGCCAGTTTGCATCTTTTTTCTCCTCGGACAATAGCTAAATCAACATCAAACGAATCGACAAAATTAACGCAATTAAACGAACATCATAAAAAAAAACCCGATAAACGTGCTAGTTATCGCTCGTGAGTCGTGATTAAGTTATCAACATCAAACGAATCGAGAAAATAACGCAATTAAACGAACATCATCAAAAAAAAGAAAAAACCCGATAAACGTGCTAGTTATCGCTCGTGAGTCGTGATTAAGTTATACATCGATAATCAAAATCAAAGAAGACGATCTTTTTTTCCATTTGTCTGTGCCTACACTATATCTACTACAAAGTATTCAATTTCTTACAATCAGATTTTCAAACCAACAATCAGAAAATCCCCAAAACAGCACAGATTTCTGAGAATTAACAATGCGATAATTTTAATTAATCAAACAGATAATATTTGTTTACAGTTAAATTTAACAAACGAATTTGATCCCCAATTTGAATTGATTGAGAAAGGGGATATAATTAGGGCAATGATTATGTATCAAATACTTTACACAGAAAAAAAGGATCGAATTTCTATTTTAAGTGACTGGATCTAACCTTATTCAGATCATCGGAGAAAAATCGCCGTTGGTGTAAGAGCTGACCGTGAATTTTGTGACGAAGTTAGCTCCGGTTGTTTTTGAATTTTTTTTTTTTTGCAGCAGAAATTTAAAAAGGAAATTCGTGGAATTTTAATTGAATCTATAAAATTGGGCTTATTAGACTAAAATAATTAAAATATTTTGGATCCAGCACACCTAGAATAATTGAATTTGGTCCAATCCTTTTTTGTTGTTTTAGGCCCATTAATGGGTTTATCTTATTTTATTTTATATTAATAATTATTTTTTATTTTTTATTATTGAATTCAAACTTTAGAGTAATTTTAAAGAAATTCTAATGACATATTTGTATTTTTATTTTAAATTAATTATTATTATTAGTTTAATTTTTCATCTACTATTTTCCAGTATTTTAGATTTTTATTGCATACTAGTCCACGGTATGGAATTTTTTTATATTTAATTATAGCACACACACTAATGTGAATTTCTTTAATTTTAATTATTTTGTCCCGTCTAATTTAACTTTTTTTGATGCTATTTAGGTAATTTGAATTTTACAATTAATTATTTTAATATCGTGCAATATATTTTTCTAATACAATTTAATAATTATATATCTAAATATTCTTTCTTTTTGCGACGTTATTCCGTGCTAGTGTTGTTAATGTAATGTTTAATTATTTAATTAATCATAACTCATCTTATTAATCACAAAAAAG